TTGTTTGGCCTTGAGGAACCTGCTTTCGCTTGGTCAAGTCAGAAAGGGTTCGCTAGCATTTCAACCTTGATGCTCAGATTCTAGCGTGTACAGTGGACAGGCGCGGGTAGGCTTCCACGTCTCTGATGTTCCTGGAATCCCCCAAAATCGGCATCCCAGCACCATACATCTTTAATAGCTTTCCCAGGGCTTGTCCTCAATCATAGACTACGCCCCTGAATAGAAATGCCCGCGGGAAATGGGGGGGGGGGTTCTCAAAACAACCCGAAACAATCCTAAGGAGGATCCCTGTAAAGCCTTCATATCGATAAGATCCCCAAGAGCCCGCTGGTTTGAGAATCTGAGAAATCTCCGAGTATTCCTGTCGTCAGGATGTGTTTGTTGTCTCTCAGGAGCCGTAAGTCAACTCAGAAGCCTATGCATTCCAATGAACCGCTTCTCCTTCAAAACCCTCTCTCCCCAAGGACCCGTTTTCCAAACACATTAGGAGAATAGTTGTTTTTTTGGGGGTGGTAGCAGACCATCTTCTGGACCTCCCCAATATGGCTTGAAGCGTCTCCTGCTTCTAGGCGCCTGAAGCTACTCATACAGGCCTTTCCTGAAGGCCTTGGCCCTCGTAACAACTTTTTTTGTAGCGGTTGGTCAATGCCGCCTAAGCCGGAAAAGAAAAGAAAAAAAACACTACAATGGGGAACCAAGCCATCCCCACCGAATGCTGGAGGAGGAGACTGAGTACTGCATTGATGAGGCTGCAGACATCCAGCAGCTGATTGAGGCTGAGCAGGTTGTTGTGAAGAAGCTGGATCATCAGGTTACCATTATAGGGAAACTTGGTCATTCACTCTCCAGTAGCTGCATGATGGCAACTTAGTTTAAGTTACTTAGAGGCTGCACTGCTGAGGAGTTGTCAGGGTATGGAGTTGAAGGGTCGTCACAGTCCAAGAAAGTGGGTTCTTTTGGGGCCCGGATCAATCGGGATTCTGGTTGCATCACTTAAGGGTGTACATGGGATTAGTTGTGACAGATTTTGGGCAAGGGCATTCTGAGTGATACCCGACTCTGACCAGATCCCAAACCCTAAGCCTGAAGGAACTTAAGATTTGGGGGGGGTGCATGTACTCACTTAGCAGGATGCTTATGCAAAGTTCCTGGAATTCTTTGAACCTATTCGTAGCAGCTTGTGTTTCCGTAAGTCCGAGAAGTCCCGGGCCTTCCTAGTTTGATAAACCCTCAGGAGGACGAAGAGGACAACCCCCACTACGACACCATGGAGCTCAACATTGATGAAGTGCCGCGCGCCAGCACCACGGGGACCATTTTGGAATTGGGGGTTTGGTCTGGTGCTGAGATCCAGGTTTGGAGCTTGGGTTTTGCTGACTTCAAAACAGAGGGTTCGGCATGGGGAGAATCTCTAGTCTCTTCGTACCAAATGTTATTGTTGCAAGCTGCTGGGCAAGGTTGCCCGAAGCTGCTAAGACCGGCTATGAAAAAACGCAAGCAACAAATGACTCACGAAAACCAAAGCCAACAGCAGTCTACCATCAACAGCTGTGGGCTGAAAGTAGGATGCTATAGCAAGCCAAATCTGCACCCCTAGCGGTTACCAGGGCCTGAGCGGCTACAGCAGGATGTACAGAGGATGTACAGGCCTTGGAAGCTAAGACCTCCGTAGGAATATTGTCCCAGTGATATCGGGACATATCGGGGAAAAGAAAATGGAAACTTCTATATGAGTCAAGGCAGTTCTTCACCACCAGCACGCCACAACCTCCAATCCGAGAACCCTAAACCTGAAATTCGATCGAGACTGTAAGCTTCAAAGCCTAGAGTCTTACTCAAACCTGCACCCATGCACCTGAAGCAGCCTAAGGATAGAAGTGTTGGAAGTCAATGCGTTGACCTCAGACATGGCCAGAGCTCAAGTAGCTGAGGGCAAGGGGTCCAGGGATGTTACTCAATGGTGGTTAGTAGGGAAGAACGGCATATATTATATAGCGGTTCTATAAGGATTTTATTCCCTTATTCCCTACTAGCAACCATTAAGGCTAGGGGTAAGGGTGTATGGATCAGCGTGCAGGGAGTAGGATGTACAGTTTTTGGGTGCATGTTTCAAGGCATTGCGTTCGGGAGCTAGTGGTCATAGGGTTCAGGTCTTAAGGTTATCCTTGTGACTCAGAAACTGCAGTGCACCAAGCGCCAAAAGCGGCTAAAGCCCTAAAACTGTGAGGTTCAGGCTAATTACGGGGCTTGAAGGGCACTACGTTGAATCGCTGGGATTGAGCCTCTGGATTTGGGGAGCTTTGTTTGGTGACTCTGTCTTTTTACGCTAGTTCAGGATATTAGTGGTGACAAAATGGTGGCTATACATGAATAGCGCTGCTGCTGTATTATGTAAAGCCTAGTGCAGGGTGCATTACAGACTGGTGTCGCGTAGATGCTGCTGCATGCTGGGCCACTTGTGGTCACATGCCCCCCCTTTGCGTGTGTCTATCTTTTTTGGGTTTAAGGCGATACGTTGCAGGTTCCTTTTCAAAGCCTCCGCAACCCGGAAAGGGCTTGAACCACGCAGATTCAGAGTCCGTAGGTGCCATTCTCGGACTTCAGGTGGCATTCTCAAGAACTTAACCAGCGAAGTAGAGCTGTTGAGACCCGAAGCCGATTTGTCTCATACAACATAGTATACATGGGGGCGTATATGTATTATTAGGAGGTGGGGAGGGTCATCATTGATCAGTGGAAGGGAAGACGTATTGTCACAGCCTTGGTCCAAAAAGACTCCCAAACCCTAAACCCCCCCCGTGCTGTTTGAAATTCACCCCGACACCCAGCTCCAACCACTTAGGAAGTTGCTCCATAAACCTATGAGGGGAAACTGATTCCTCAGTCCCAGGAGCCAGGAGTGTGAAGCCCCAAACCCTAATCCCGATTCCTCCCTCCAAGGAGTTTGTCTTTGAGGAGCTTCGTTTGGCAGCAGACATTGTAGAGGAGACACAAGAGGCACGCGGAAAAGGGCGGGGAAGGCCGAAAAGCCCAAGCCCCGAGACTCCCAAATCCTGGACCAACCTTGGGCAACAGGCCCAAAGCAATAGCCCACGTCTCATGCAAGGCCGTATCTCCAATCCCTAGTGTAGACGAAAGCATCTACCGCAACTGTCCCCCCATACGCCTCTAGGTTATGAGGAAATATACTCCCAACCCTTCGATTAATTAAATAAACAGGCTCCAACAATGTTCCTTGAACTCTGTAGCCCTTACCATAAACTGCCTGAAATGAAGTGGCAAGCATGAAAACAAGACTGGGCCAATCAAGTGCTTCTACGATTCCTCAGGCCTGGCATTCTCAATGGCGCATGCCTAAACCCTATATACTCAAGATCCGAAAACACCCTGCTCAAGATCCTAATGCCTAAGCCCTAAACCTTAAGCCCTAACCTTAAGCCCTGAACCCTAAACCCTAAACCCCTAAACCCTTAACCCAAACAGGCCTGGCGTCTCTTCATCAGCTTGGCAAGCTCTCGGGATGCCGCGGGTGCCATGGTTTAGCCTGGCTTTTCCACGACCTAAAGGACCATAGTCTAAACTCCTTGGGGGGGATTATACAGGGGAGCATGATGGGGGTTATTAGGGGGGACACTGGGAGCTTAGACTATAGCATAAATGGATTCCCAAACAGGGCCGCGGTGAATGGACGGTAGTCTTTGTAGGACCCGTCTTGGGGGTTTCGTGTCTCTGTTGGGAAGGGGAGTGGGGTTAGAGTTTGGGGCGTTCGGGCTTATGGTTTTGGAATTTGGCTTCAAGGGGTTGGGGTTTAGGATACTTTGGATCTGGGGTTTGAGGAGGTTAACGGCTTGGGCTGCAGGTTGCAAGCTGGAGAGGCCTAGGATTCGGGAAAAAGAGCTACTGTAGGGGATTAATTTGGTCTCTTGAGTTTTAGGATGCCAGGCCTGGACTTGGAGTTTGGGAACCATAGTTGTAGGACAAGGCTTTGTGGGTTGGTGCAAGGTGAAAAAGTTGACGATGGCATGAGGGGTGAAGGTCCTGCGTGTCCCCGTGCATTTCCTTTGGGTGTAGGGTTCAGGGTTTAGGGTTTCCCATCCAGGGTCTACTGGGTTGCGTGTTGGAGGGTTGATAGAACTGTTCAGAATAGGCCCATCACAACCGCTTCAGATATGCGTTGTATGCCACAACAACAGCAACAAGATGCAGTTCCCATAGAGTTCAGATACCCCAAACTATGGTAAGTCAGGGCCACGCCGAAAGAAAATCCGGTCTAGGGTTTAGGTATTGTCTAGGTAAATTCCATATTCAATCTACCCGCACCCAGAGGCCTTCTGGCTTGAAAGCAGGACCCAACACCCGAGACCCCACTTTCAGAAGCTCCCAAAGCCTAAAGATGCCAGAACTGCTTGAAATCCTAGTAGGCCCCAAACGAGATGCCCTCTGAGGTGAAGCAATCTACTCAGCCATCTTCGAGTCTGCGCCGACATTGCAGAACCTTTTCAAGACACCCCGTCCTGTGATGGCTGCTTCTACGCATGGAAATGTGGCTGCTGGTAGCTTGGGGCTTGAGATTAGACTGTAAGGTTTAGGGTTCTAGGGTTGCAGGTCGTGGGATTTGGGCTTTGTAGAGGGCTTTGTAGAGTGACAGTGGTGTCGGTATGGTGGCAGCGAATCTTTGCTTGCTTCTGTTTTGTTTGCAGGTTGTTTCTCAGGCTTCAGGTACTAAGGCTGCAAGAACAGCTTAATCGACTACAGCCCGCTTTAAGCTTTTGGTGTTGGGGGCCGGACTTCAGCCTAAAGCATGTAAATCCTAATCCCTACAAAGCCAGAGCCCTAAACCATACAAAACTTACAAAATCCTCGACCTGTCAAACCCAGTATGGAGCTTTCTTGCTTCAACCTTGGGTGTATCCGGTTTAGAGGGTTTATGAGGTTTATGGGGCCAATAGCGTTCATAGAGCTTATCTGGTTTATAGGGTTTGTAGGGCTTTCGGGTTCAAAGGGTTTATAGTCTAGGTACGGCACAGGGGCTGATGTAGGCCCTTGTTTCACAACCCTTCGTATTTGGAGTAGTATTTTCTGTTGAAGACCCCGAAAAGGCGCCAGAATTCTGACAATTACCATATGAGTCACACTGGGGAGGCAGAAAGAGCAGGCACCCACAAGCGGCATTGCGTTCACAGTAACTTACAAAGCCTGACAAACTAGCAATGTTCTCTCCTGATACCCTTTGAAAAACCTCATATACGCCTAGTCGCCTGCCAACTGAGGCTATGCGGTTCATGAACGGCCTGCCGCTGGGTTTTGCTTATGATTTGGCACCCAGAAAAGCCTGCTACTTGTTGTGAGGAATGAATGAATAGAAAAGAAAATGGCAACTATGACACGAATTGGGCGTGTATAAGGGCTACTTGAAGGATCCATGTCTCCACTCCGTGCCAACAATTAGTAAGAACATTGCAAGGTCTTGACGGAACGGGATTTAAGAAGGACTCACAGCTCTTACACGCTCCCATTGAATTGAGTCCTTTTGTCAGAGATCCTTGCGTGTGTGCTTTGGCTGTTGGCTTTGGCTTTCCCATCTTACGTATTGTGGCTTTGAGGCTCCAAAGCAAAAGGAACCCAAAGGCAAGCCCCCTAGACCCCCCACAACTGTGCAAATCGCGGCTTCAGGGGTCAGTGATCTTGCTGGGCTCTTTGGGACTCTTATGTTGGGATTTAAATGTTCTGCCAACTAAAGTGCTTCACACATACATGGGATTCGGATGATAGGTCCCTTCCGGCGGTTCCAATTACAGAATAAGCTGTCTTGCGGATGTTCAACAGATCTCAATGTTCCGAGATGGCCATGTGCTGCTTGTCAGCCAGCCAAAGTTCCTATACACCCTTTCCTGCCCATCAGAAACTCGTCTTCAGGAGACCACCGTGTCATCTACTTGCTTTCACAGAATAACCCCATACACCCGCCTGCTTTGTCCTTAAGCCATGGATGAATGTAGAGTGTGAGGCAAAAGACCATGATTACGCAAAAGCTCCGGTGAAGGTGCTGTGTCAAAGGGCCCCAGGAAAGCGCAGCAGCGCCTTTGAGAATGTTTTTTGGCTTGCAGACGTGGCAATGTTGGCCCAGTTGGGGTACCTCACGTAGTGGCTTCAAAGACTTCCCAAATACTATACTCCTAACGCCCCAAAATGGTACCCCCCAATTTTGGGAAACCCGAAACCCTAAACCCTATATATCCCTATTTGTATCATCAATACCTGGGAGCAGTGATGAGGCACTGGTATTGCAGAGGTGTAAACCTGGACGAAGTTGCAAAACTCAAAACATACTGGTAAATGGTGGTTTAATTAGGGGCTAGTAGCAAAACGGCCTTGAGTTGGGAATTGAAATTATTCTAAATTACCCTGAAACACCATATCTCCAACTCTTGCCAAGGAACACCATCATCTCGTCCATGTGCCTTCTCCAGCATTACTGGTAGCAGGGAATCCTTGGGTGAAGTTAAGGTTCAGAGCTGGGAGATGTCAGACACTGCTTGGAAGACTGCAATTCATACATTAGAATTCAGGCAGACATGAGTGCTTCTGAAGAAATAGTTGATAGATTGACAACCCATGAGATGCCAAAGAAATCTGACAATGCAGTTCTTACTAATCTTGGACTCGGGCTTACGCCTTGACTTCTTCTAGTCGGAGAACACATAATTTTCTCGAGCTTGATGTCTCTAGCTTACTGATATGGATATTGCTTGTGCTCGCATCGATCTTATCATGTGGGGAGTTGTCAGCAGTAGGGTCCACGAATAGAACGGCCCCAAGGGAGTACCACCTGACAGCGACCATACCCTTGACAGCCCTCCCCTGTAGCCCTCTCCTAAATGGGTTGGATCTTGTAAAGTCATTTAGGGGGGCGCTTCATCTTCATTTGGGGTCGTGTAGAACAACTCCAAAGCCTGAGGCATACGCCATCGGCTTTGAAGGTAACGGTGGAGACGCTGGGCTTTCAACACCTGGACTTGGATGTCACCGTGCCCCGCACCCTGGTCCGTTCAAGAAGACGGGGGTTTAGGGTTTTAGGGTTTTAGCATTTAGGGTTTAGGGTTTGGGGGGTCTAAGGATTCAGGGCTTGGCTCTGTATGAGCAGCTCTTGAAATAATGGTTTCTTCCTCCAAAGAAGATTGACTAGAACCAGACATGAACGGGAAAGTTGTGACTTCCTGTACCTTTGCGACCTGCTGCGTGCGCCTGCAGAAAGTTGCAGTTCTAGGCAGGCCCATCATAAGCCAACTTTCCCAGTGCTAAATCCTCAAGCTTAGAAGACCCCAGCATATTGATCTCCGAGCTGAAGAGGTACAAGCCCGAAAGCCCTCTGTGAAGCCTCACTATTGCCAGGAGCAACGTGTGCTGAACACAATACCTAGAAGAACGGTTCAAAGTAGCCACCACGACCGTGGCAATTTCATGTTCATCTTCACTGAAGTACAAAGATCAGTTTTACTAGCTGCACGAATTGAGGAAGAACACATGCCCTCAAAACCCTGAGCCCTATCCCCCTAACCCTAAACCCTAATTATCCTCTAAACCCTTGACTCATATCTTGTTCTCTAGCCCCTACACCCTCCTCTTCGCCACAAGTGCAACACCAGCCAAGGCGTAGGCCTCTTCCGGGATGCAGTGGTAGAGCTCTTCGAACAAGAGCTGCTTGCTATGATTTTTGAAAGCCACAAGACTTCAAGAGCATGAGACGCAAGATTACCTCTGTACCCTCTTGGCTGCGCCTAGGGCTTGGGATTTGGGATCTTGAATTTGGGGTTTTAGGACTTGAGACCGTGGGTTTTGGTTCAGGGCCCACGATTCAAAGCTCGAGACGTTGTCCCCCAGTCGACGTGGATTTTTGCTTAGCCGGCATCCTTGTACTCAAAGAATGAGACATGCTGGCCCCCCCCATCTTCAGCTGTACGCTGACCCCAAAGCTGGCAAGTATATAGGGTTGACACCCATGAAGCCCAATATGAAGGAATAAGCCCCCCGGCCTATACTACAGCCAGCCCAGGCCGTCTGCATTGAATCCCAACGCCTAACCTCAACCCCTCGCTTTAAGCTGCAAGTGCCAAAGCATACCAAGGGGGCTTCAGCAATCAATAACACCCTGAATCCGGAGCCCTCTTTCCTAAGCCTTGTATCCTAACCCCGAAGTCCAAAACTCGAAGCTCTATGTCCCCGGGCCTAAACCCTGAACCTTGCAAGTGAAAGGCGCATGTCTATCCGAGTTCCTCTATTTTGAAACTGCAAGTTTCGCCAACTCAGGGGCTTGGAGTTCAGGGTTTAAGGTTTGGGGTCTTGCATGGTTCAGAGGATTTAGGGCTTAGGATTCAGGGTTTCGCCTCAGTAAAACAAGCCCCGAACCCTAAACCCTGAAAAACCTAATCCCTAGATCTTCAAGAGCCACAACCAAATGCCCTAACATTCCGAACCCCAACCCCAAGCCCCCAACCCTAAACCTTGCCCCAGACTCTAACCCCGAAAACCCCAAACCAAAAACCCTAAACCCTCAGCCGCAAACCTTCTTGCCTTAATCCCAGACCGTTAACCCCTAAGAAAAAACCGCAAGCAAAAAACTGCGAAAACCTGCATCCCCCAAACCCCAATACCCCAAGCCCTGAAACCCTCACCCCTGAGCCCTGTCGCCTCTACCGAGGACCCCAGTACCCTAAACCCTTACACCCTAAACCCTAAACCCTTAAACCCTAAACCCTAAACCCTTAAACCCTAAACCCTTAGCCCTAAACCCTATAAACCCTAAACCCTTACCCCTAAACCCTATAAACCCTATAAACCCTTAAACCCTATACACCCTTACACCCTGAGCCCTGACGCCTCTTCCGAGGCTTGCGGAGCGCTTCACATCAAGGGCAAGGAGCGGCTTGAAGTCCATCTTCAACTACGTGGGAGGCAGAGGGCTTAGGGTGTATTTATAGGGTTTAGGGTTAGGGTTAGGGTTTAGGGTTAGGGTTAGGGTTTAGGGGTTAGGGTTTGGGGTTTGGGGGTTAGGGTTTAGGGGTGTGTAAAGTTCAGGATGGACGATCTGAGCATATGAGTTTAAGGTTTACTTTGCGGTTGGGGGCTGGGGTCCGGGGTGAGGAGCATGTAGTATGTACATATCGGATTTCATAAGGTGCTCAACTCACTTGAGCTGGGACAACAACACAGGGCTCTGGATACGATAAGAGTAAATAAAACGATAACGTAGCAGATTATATTCTTTGATGGGAGCATGATAAGAGCAGCCCCTCTAGTTTTTTGGCGCCGCTCACTTGAGTTCATCTGCAAGACAGTCTAGGCCATGCGGAGGGATGCTCTAGTCAGGGCCTGCGTTGCCGCCCAGGCGCCTATATCTTCATCCGCCGCGAATATGCCAGCCGCATCAAGGCTCCAAGGGTCACAAAGCAACTTGATGATTACCGATTCCCATCTGGTCCTAAATAATTATGGTAAACTTAAGCCGTAACCCGAGCTATATCCCTAAACGCTGAAATCAATTCTAGTAGGATAACCGCAGAAACTACATTCATAAACCCCACAGTAATGGTCACCCCATCCAAGTACACCCCTAAGCCCTAAACTTTAAACTACATCTCAAAGCCCATTTCATTCTGATACCTGGGGCTTTGACATGAATGTTGAAGGCCTAGTGGTTCTGTGTTGAGAAATTTGGGGAGTCAGCGGTGCGAGACTAGCTTGAGCTTGGCATACTTCCACACGGATTTAAATCCGAAGTCCTGAAGCGCTCAAGCCTTTAGATCCTGAAGCTTGCCAAACCGTTAACTCAGTGCCTCGGACGCTTTTATCTTATGATGTGTAGGGGATCCCAGACTAATATCGGGGTCGTCGTACTTCTTCTTTTTCTAGGACTTATTCCTAGGAGTTGGTTGGGTTGCGGTCGTTGACCTTCACAATCACTTTAGAAGCTTTTTTAGTGTTTCGCGCAATGTTGTTCTAAATGCGTTAGCCTTGCAGAAGCTCTATGAAAGCTAGTGACTTGTCGATTTTGCAACCCCAAGAGCATGGGAAAGGGAAATGGGCTCTAAACATCAAGGGTATGCGAAGCTCAAAGCTCAACTTCAACGGTGCTTGTTCATCTATTTGTTCCTCCTGAGAGGATTCAGTCCTGGCAAAAGATCCACTCTTGAATAATTACACCTAGATCCAGGAATCCAGAGCGAGGATCCAAATCCTAGACGCTTAGCCGTCAGACCTTCATCCCTAAGTACTTGAAGGCTTTTTCTTCATCTCATAGACTTCGCACCCGCGCATCCGAAGCTTTACACCCTTGTCCTATAGCTGTGCTGCGCAGATCATCGGCAGAAGTTGGCGTACGGCCAACAACAAAGTCGAGGCTTTCTGCACTTGTGGCTCTAGGGGGCCTGGTCCCGGAGCAACATGGGACTTAGTACGGCACTGAACTTACAACACAACTTCTAAGCCGATTCTAGGCCCGCGAGAATTGAGTGCAGTCACTTCTGAGCACCCTACAAGCACCCATCAGGCACCATGTGGCTGCCTCATAGCTCCCTTTTTTTTTTTACGTTCGACTTGACGTTCAGGTTCTAGCGTTTTAGTCAGATTTTGCCTGCTGCTGTGTTTAAGTGAATCTGGGAGCAGTTTCAAGAGTTGAGATGCTGGAGGGCTCGGGGTTTTAACGCCCATAAGAGGTTCAGTGGTCGCAGTTGTGCAGGGTCTCAGCTGTATGTGGCTCAGGGCAGGTTAGTCTTTAAGTAGACTCTAGGTTGTCAGGCTGTAGGAAAGATGTTCTCATGTTGAGTACGAGGCTTTGGCTGGTGTCAGGGGGCCCGGATGGCTATGGGTCTTGGGGGCGCAGGAGAGAAACGTCGGGTGCCTTCAGAGCTTCAAAGAGACACCCTGTGCTCCTAGACAACCAAGAAAAATGGTAGTTTCCCAAAATAGGGGACCTCAATGTAAGCCCCAATATGCTATAATCCTTCTTATAGGGACCCCAATATGGTACCCCTAATTTTAGGAAACCCCCAAATACACGTGTTTGGGTTTGCTTGTCTATTTTAAGTACGATGAGAAGCTCAGAGCCTGCTTTGTTGCCTATATGGGATTTCCCGAAATGCAGGATACATTGTTTGGGGTCCCCACAGTCAGGATTATAGCGCATTGGGATCTATATTGGGGTCCCCCTATTTTGGGAAACTACTATATGAAACTGTTAATCCGCAAGTGGAAGATATCCCATAACCAAAGTCCAGAAGAAGCTTTAGCACACCCCGCAAGCTCTGCACAGTGTTGTGGCAAGACAAAGCTCCTCATGTTGCTCAGTGATTCCATGCCGTCAAAGGGCCCCTGCCACTCCGTTATGATTAGTGACCCTTCAGGGTTGACTGTTGTCTTTTTTCCAAGCATGTGTAGGGCGTGTAGGGATAGCATTGCTCCCACAAATGGAGAATCAGATGGAAAGAAGATGAACATGAAATAGACGCTGGTTGGTTTACAGAACTTCAATCCTACAGTCTGCGCATCCAACATCTCCATACGCCTAAGCCCTAGATTCCTTCTTCCTCTCCGGGGTTGCTTCTAAGGAGCCTGAATTACTTCTGGTGTCCTTGCATTATGGTAACTTGCTTTCAGTTCCTGAACAGCCTGTACAACCCTGGTATAATGCCAGCTCCATTTCATGATGCAGCTTCCGTTCCATCTGATTCTTTATTACAGCAACCTAGTTCTTAATCCTATGAATCGCCTATGAAGTGTCTCTACCCCCCAATATGGTATGTAAGGTGATCTGCTTATGAAAGTAGTGTATTACCCTGAACCCTAAACCCTAAACCCTAAGATCAAGAATCTTGACTTGGAAGAGTAGAAGATGACTGGTTGGACGAGTCTGTGGTGTACCTGGGTGTCCTTGTGCCGCCCAAGATCTTCTGAGTGGGATAGTATGGTTTGGAGTGATTTTCTGTTACCTGCTGTTGTGTAACCCGGTTGGCAGGTCTGAGCAAACAGGGGGCCACTGAGACTCAAAAGCTGTGGCGTGGTTTGTACCCCCTAGAGTTACGCTGGCACAGAAAAGGTGCGAAGGTGTGCCAAAAAAAACAGAAAAAGGATCAAGAATCCTGATCTCGGCAGGGAAGCGATGCGGGCAGTGAATCGGACCACAAGTCCGGTGCCTCTCCTTGCAGCCTTGCAAGGGCTCAGGGTTTCGGGATTAGGGCTTAGGGTTTAGATTAGGGTTTCGGGATCTAGGATATAGGGCTTTATAGGGGTTTTAGGGTTTAGGGTTCAGGATAGAGGGTTTAGGATCTAGGTTGAAGGTGTGGTTCTGGTTGCTATCATTTTTCTTTTATCTTGTCATGTCTTCGCCGCTGACATGGTTTTTGTGTGATTCTGATGAGAGGTGCTGGTAGTAGCTTGCCTGTTATGATTCATTACTATGCTATGGTCAGTGCCAGACCACTTGAAACTGTTGCTTGTTCCTGCGGCTGCTACGTCATGTAGTTCTTTTCATATTCTCGCGTATTCCCCCGTGTGTCTCTTAATAAGTCTTCAAGATGATTCCGCTACGGAGAGAGAGGGAGCAGCCTTTCTGGTCGGCAACAATTGAAAGCTTTCATCCAGGGCCCTTGCCTCCAAATCGCCACCAGTTACAGAGTCCCACTGTTTAGGGCTTGGGGCTTTGCATGTGAGGGCGTATCTGTTAGGCGGAAGCCCCACCCAGTCACAGTGACTATGAGGAACAATAAGGGTTATATTCGGGTCCTCTTAGATTCCTATTATACCACTACTACAGGGTGGGGGATCCTCTAATGTATCTGTGAAGCTCTTTCAGTGCTTTTGCACAGCCCCTGAAGCGCCTTCGGGGCGCCATGTTAAGAGGCATCTTAAACCCTGCCCCCTAACACGTATGTCCTGCAATAGACTTTTTGTGCTACTGTAGGGAACATCTCTAATTACTGCTTCCCTCAAACCGACACGGAACCCATGCAAACTTACTTTCAACGACGGCGGTCTACACAAGGCCGCTGTTGCGGTTTCTTGTTAGTTTGGGTCAGGGAAATATCGGGGGGGTTGGAGGGATACCCCACTCTAAAGCTGAAGCTCCAAAGCCCAAAACCCTAAACCCTGAACTCTGAACCCCAAACTCCTAAAGCTCTAAAGCCCAAAGCCCTGAACCAGCAAAGGCGAGGCAATGAATGGCCTGAGCATTTCTTTCGACGAGTTGCAGGATAAGGCAAGGCTTGGGAAGATTTAGGGTTCAGGGGGTCTAGGACGCATATCTTCTATACTAGTAATTATCGTATAGCTTTGCATATACAACTTATGTTTAGATTATTCGTATAATTGTTTCTTCTATACTTGTAGTATGAGGAGCTGACCCGGCATATGTAATGTTTGCGGGTGGGGTTGGGGATTTAACGTTGGCGTGGCGGGATCTACTTGATTACTGCTAGGATCTTCGTAGTTTGGGGTCCGGCTACAGGCTACGGGTGTTCGGAATTAGTTCTGTTGGCATGACCTGACTTTGGTGCAGCGCCTTAAGAAGAGGCCTACAGAAGGAGCACAGCTTGAGTTAGTGCTTGGCTTTTTTCTTCCTTCAGCCTTTTTCAAGAGACATGCTCTTGCCTGACAAGCCCGCAATTTCAACACTGGTCAAATGATCCCATGATCTTGTGAGACGGGCATCAGGGTCATTGTGGCATGGGCAGCGGCGTCAGTCGAAAGAGAACCAAGTCGTGGGAAGGTGAACCAACAACCCTGTTCGTCACGATTTCTGTTACGTATCTACGTCGATTTCTGTTAGGGCTTTCGAGGTCTTGACTTGTATTGCTAGGGGGCTTCCCCACAATACCGGGGCCATTTGTTGATTCATCGCTCGCGACTTCGTGGGATAGGCCCCGCCACACACGCGTGTTACGAGCTGTTCTTCGGTTTGTGGGACCCATCGACCGTCCTCAGTTGGGGAGCTAGAAGCGCGTCGGGCAACTTGTGGATCTCAAAGCTCATTATTGAGCTTGGAGGTTCCCTATTGTGCAACCATATGATATAGTGCATACTTCGTGGTCCCCATGAGAATCAGAATTTGTGTTCATGGTGTCGCGCGCTATAAGCATAACCACATGACATCACTCCAAATGGCATTGCAGGTGACGATGAACACCTCGGGGCACCTCGCCAGTTAAAATTGGAATATAGCTCTGAGATAGCAAGCTTGAAGCATTCCCTTTTGTACAATGGGGTCTAGAATTTCAGGGAGAGACGCTGTGGACGGCTTGTGTGGCTAACCATTTCTGGGTACCATTTCTGAGTGCTTTAGAGTTAGTTAACTTAAACTAGCGGTGCTTGTCTGGCTAACCACTTCGATTGGTTTCGGGGTAGTATACTGAATAATTGATTGTGTTGTCGAAGCAAGCGTTTATGACTTCCCTTTCTGGTTTCTATATGGTTCCCTAGTACTTCAGGGTGTGTAAGGGGGACCCGTATTTTCACAAGATGCGTGTAAGGAATGTTCAAGGGCCCCTGGCAAAATATTGGCATGTAACATGGAGGCTCGCTACACCTGAACAATAACCCGCTGTAAGCTGTAAACCTCCCCAAATCCATCACAAACCCAAGAAAGAACTACATGGGAGCCCTTGGGTAGATACCCAGCTCACCTACCTGCAGCCTGCTCCAAGGAGCAAGGATGGAGAGGAAAAGGAGGCAAGAGATTCCGAGGCTAAGAAGACCATGGAAACCATGAAGGCCACCAAGGGTGGGTTTAGGGTTTAGGGGGCTCCAGGTTGAGAACTTAGGGCTCTGCAACAGGAGATTCAGGGCTTGAGGATTGAGGGGCTTTAGGGCGTTGAGATGTAGAGACGGGACAGCCGCTTGCCGGTGTTGCTGAAGTTCCGTATGCTATGGAGATCATGCAGGCCAATGACTTGTTTGTTCTTATAAGGAGTGGACCCATAACCGAATTCGTATGTGAAGCCCAAGAATCGGCTCAATCGTCCCTCCCCCGCTCCCTGTGATGTGTCACTAAGATCTTAAGATTAAAAAAAGGAGGGCAGGCACTTCAACCGGAAACAATTGCAGCTGCAGGAGTTGTTGCTCTCTTTCCGTGCTGTCTGACGGTTTGATTCTTTGCTGTTTGGGGCTTCAGGGTCGAGCGTTTCGGTTTTAGGTTGCTGAGTTCAGCAGTTCAGCGTGCAAGGTCTTATGGTTCCAGAGCTCGAGGGACCCTAAACCGATCATGCATACCTGGACCTTAAAGGTAAGTAACATTGTGGCGCAACGCCCACACAAGAGCCAACACGGCCATTATGTCCCATACCTCTGGGATTGATGTAGTGCTTCCAGCAACCAACCCTACGCCCCAAACCTGAGAAATACCAGCCGTAAGGTTTTTTGGGTTAGGGGATTTGGGGCTTATATTCCCCCTTGAGTAGATCGAATATGGCTTTGGGTATATTCTAAGATGATCCCCATATACCCCATCTTCTCTCTACTTAAGGGGGACTATAACCCTCAACCCTAAACTCTATATCCTATCTAATTAAGGGGGACTATAGGTTTGAGGGCCTAGACTTCAGCTTTCGGGGCTCCAGAGCTTTGGCTTTCAGGTTTTTGTAGAGGGCCGAAAGGGGAAGGAGAGGTTGCCTTTGGGCTTAGGGATGTTTGAGGGTTCCTAGATGCTCTTGGGTTTGGGTATAAGGCTGTTCTCCTTTTGCTAACACTTTCAGCATGATTGGTGGGTGGGTTTGAGGGTCATTCCTCAACATCAGGGCCCCTGAAGCACTTGCTGGATGTGGTTTGGCATTCCCGTTTTCATTTTCCAGGCACCCCAGCAGGAAGTACACCCAAGAAGGCGCGAAAACACAAGCTTCCCATGCCATGCAGGAAGAAGAAGTAACCTAAGGTAGGTACCTCTGTGTTTTGGTGTACGGCAGGGGCCTACCTTCTAGCTTGGAGGGTATGCTCCCAACAGCAGGTGCCAACAACCTTCAACGAAATGTGCCGTCCCTAAACCTTGGTGGTGACGAGACTATGGGCCTCAGTTTCGGTGCTTTTCAGCTTTATCGGCTCGGGCTTCCGGGTTGCTGTCAGCTTTGATTGGAAATTCTCAAGATGATGTGTGCTTCTTAGAGGGCCAGATAGCACTGATCGTAGCATTGGGGATTCTACATCGGGGGGCCCCCCGGCCCTACACAGCCAGGGTCTGGACCATACTTATGATGATCCACATCATGACTTGTATATCCCTAAGCTGCTCTGAACCTTAAACATGTCCCTTCCACGGGTAGAACTATGCGCGGGTTGTTGCTTGCTGACCCACCCGTCCCAGTACAGTAACAGGACATGAAGGCCTAGGCAATGGGACAGTTTGCGGTGTAGGGTTGTTCGGGATCCAGGCTTTACAGTAGGCAGAGTCCTGGGTTTAGGGTGTGTAGCGCGTAGGGGATTGCGTGTGAAGAGGGCTTAGGGCTGAAAGGGTTTAGAGTTTCAGCTGTTGGGTTTAGAGGGTTTGGGAGTTGGAGTGCTGAGGGTGTAAGCTTGGAGGTTTGGGGAAGGCCTTCCGTGGTATCGTTCCAAAACTCCCAGCCGGAGCAATCTGGGAGCCCAAGTTGCATGGAAGGGACGGCTGGCTCAAAGCTGGGCTTAGGGAGGGAAGGGTTTAGGGTGTAGGGTTTAGGGTTTGGGACGGATGGTAGGGTATAGGGGTCATAGGGTCTTGGGCCGGATGGTCGTTGACATAGGGCCCTGACAATTGGATGAAGACAGCGAACCTTCAAACCGGAAGCCCTAAGGCCACAGCCTTAAGCTTTCAACAGTAGTACCTGCAACTCCAAGAATGTCGTATTTGACAATGTTCAAAAACTTTGAGTCTTGTTTTACCTATTTCGAAGTCCAGGTATATCCTGCAACCATACAACTTGACCTCTAAGATTCCTAAACTCTCACCCCAACACCTTAAACCTTAAATTCTCAATCCAAAGCTCATAGCTCCAGTACCTAAACCTAACTCCCTAAGCCCTAGAATCCCTAAACCCTTAAGACAGTCTCCAGCATCCAACAAACAGCTTTTACCTGGCATCGCCATGTCCTGGGTCTCCCGTAGGCAGCTGAGTCCCGGGGACGACGCTTGAAGTGCGTGTTGGTTGGGTTGTATAGTATTTGTGGTTTTCTTGGTGGCTTGGTGGACGTACTATAAAGAAGAGTTCTAATGGGAACCCCAAACAATAGAATGCAAGGACCCTGCTAGGTACATTCCTATGATATTCCTACCATATTCTTGAGGTTCCCTGTTTGGGGTTCCCAGTCAAGTCCTTTTATACTAATAGGACTTTGGGTTTAGGGGCTCAAGGCTCGGCATGTTGGGTTTCCTGGTCGAGGCTCAGAGGATTTACAGCTCAAAGTCGTTTGGGGGTTCAAGGCTTGGGGTCGCATGCCGCCATCTCGATTCAGTAAGAGTCAATCTTTGGGCTTTGCTCAAGCCACACAGAGTCTTCAATTTGGAGCCTTGAATCCCTAAAGCCCGGAACCCCTAGAAGGCAAGAACCCCAAGGAGCTAACCCCTACACCCTAAACTCTAGCGGCACCAGGTTGTTTCAGGGTATATTGTTCCTGCTGTTGTTTTTGGGGGCCCTTTCTCTTGCACATTTTTCCCTGCCTTTACAGATGGTCTTCTTCTGTCGGCTGAAGTGCAGATCCTGCAACAGCTTAGGATTTTGGATTTAGGATGGAGTTCATGGACGAATTCGTTCACCACTCCCGCAGCACGCGCCGTTTCCTAGGATAGAGCGTGTTCAAGTTTGCAGAAGGGTTGCTTCATCCACAACAAACCCAGGAAAGTAGTTGCATGGCATGGTAAACCACAAACCCTGGCCAGTGTCTTATAACAGCAATAGTAGTAATCGTCAGTAATTATAGTAATAGTAGTTATTATAGTAATAACAGTAATAATAGCAATAACGCGTTTATAAGAGTTATAGTAGCTTAATATAGTTATACTAGCAACTTTTAGATTTTGTAAGCCTGAGCTTTGGAGGTTGGTGTTACCAAAAACTTCTTCTTACTGGTTTCATATCTCCACAGCCACGCCACGCAGGCTTTTCTACTAAGATCTGAAATTTTGAATGTATGGTTCCGGGGTGTAGAGGTTTTGGGTTTAGGGTTTAGTGTGGGCTTATGTTTAAGGATGTAGGAATCAGGGCTCGCCGAGCAGCCTTGCTGAGAATTGTACTACACATCAGCTCTTGTCTCTCGTTTCGCGCACTATGCGCAAGCTTGACTCCGTGTGTCGGGGAAAGCAGGATCGGCAACCTTCAAACCTTCCCCGAGAAAATGGTCCCCCTGAAGCAGATAGAATATGGGGTATATGAGGATCTTATTATAATACACCCCAAAGCCATATTCTATCTACCTAAGGGGGACTGTAGGATGCGCTGGCTGACTTTGACACCGACTTTGCGCTGTTTGGGCGCCTCTACGGGTATGGAGTTTATGAGGTTAGGCTTTGGTCGGTGGGTAGAGTTTCCATTTTCTTTTCCATCATCCCTTATACAAACAAAGCTAATGTCCTATAAAATTGCAGTAGTGTTCATTTTCTATTCCATTATAGCTACTTAGCCCCAATCTACTATAGAAAATGTAGTAGTGTCCATGTTATTTTCCATTTCCCCGTATAACACTAACATATTATAGAGTTCAGAGAACCCCCTTCTGTCAGATGTCATCATCATTGGCAAAAGGATTGTTCCCAGTGGTACCCGCCTGAAAAAACCTAAATCAGTACTCGTCCCGAAGAAGCCACAGAAGTTAGACCGCCCAAAATTGAATGTTCTGTACTTTCCCAATGGGGTTCAGGGCTGAGGTTCTGCCCTCAACCCTAAACCCTAAACCCTAGGGTTTTGGCGTTAAGGGTTTAGGGTTTAGGCGTTTGAGTTCACGACCTGGGGTTGGAGGGTGTAGGGTTATAGCGTTTTTTTGTTTACGGGCTTCAGGCTTGGGGAGTTTTTCGGGCACTGCGGACCCAAAGCGTTACTGGTTCTTAGCAGGGCATAAGGGAATATCATCCCCAAATCACCCCTAAGTAACATGTTCCCAGATTCCCTACTATAATCCCAATTTCTACCCGAATATAGTTTAATTAGTAGCTTCCATGTTCTTTTCCATTATCCCTGTATAACCCAAACATTTAACATATTCCCATATTCCCCTAAACCCTGAAACCTAAACCCTAAACACCAAACTGGTTCTTAGTAGGGAATCCCTACTGAGAACCAGTAAGAAGCTCTGAAACTACACTCCTGGAAACTAAAATGGAAACCCAAAAGGGCCCTATAAACACCACAGTCACTCTAAAATGGGGCTATATGGGTTTCCATGTTAGTTTTGGGGAGTGTAAGGCGCCAGTTATCTGCTCCTTCAGAGCCGGCCGAAAGCCAATCCTTGGCGACGGCTCATAGGGCTCTGAGTTCATCTCACCCGCAGAAGTGGCTGGGAGGAAGCTAAGGGTTTCTTAGGGCATTAGGGTTTTAGGATTTTGGGTTTAGGGTTTAGGGTCTTAGGATTTGGGGTTTAGGGTGTAGGGTCTTAGGTTTTTGGGGTTTTAGGGTTCAGGTTGGTTGTTAGAAGGGACTGGAGGAGTCGAAAAGAGAGTGGAAGCTAGTATCCAGGTTGGGGGAAAGGAAAATGGAAAGGCAAGCTTTTCTGTTCTTGGGGATTACATAAGGGCTACTCAAGGGATCCCTTGCTGCACTCCCTACTAACAACCAGTAAGGTCCAGGCAGTTCAGTTAATGTGGTAGCTCGTTGTGCCCTGTATGGCATTTTGGTGGGTGTATGCGGTGTATGGTGTCTTTCGCTGCTGCAGGTCAGAGAGAAGAGAGGAAGAGGTTTGCATTTGAGATTTGGAGTTTAACTCTGGGCTGCAATTTGCAATTTAGACCCTCAGTATCTACTCTACGTAACAGAGAAGAGACTTGACAAAAAGGAGAAGGATTCAAGTTCCCCTCGCATCCTCATACGGTAGAAGACGAGGGTGGCTTCACCCCACAACTGGCCATTTTAGGGGCATTTCCATTTTCTTTTCCATTATCCCCATATAATCCCTATAATGCCCCAATTCCCGATACATATGTATGTATATATATATACCATAGTAGTTTCCATTTCATTTTCCATTAATCCCCAGCCCTAAACCCTAGCGGTGTGGATCCCGTGGGTTCTTTGGGACCCAAACCTGGCGACGAATTCAGAGGATCGGAAGAGTCTTGGAACTTAGGTACCTGGACCCCAAATACCTGGCCTTTTGGGCTATTTTTGGGATTTCGACTTGCTTTTGGGATGCAGGTAAGGAACAATCCAAGTCATCACGAGGTAATATCCTAGAGTTCCTTACAAGTACTCTTACCATTAGCACGATTGTTTCGAAATACGCCGACCCAGCCTTGAACCTGTTATTTGAAGAACGCAATCCACTGTAAGCAAGACAAAATCGCGGAGCATGAGTGCTGAGGCGATGGCAGCTTCCGCTTTGGATGCGCTGGAAAGAGTCACTGAGCAGCGTTGTTGTGAAGCCACACGATGTTTGTAGAGGGTCCAGGAATTCATATGGTATTTTCCAAAAACGGAGGGACCCCTGTATAGACCCTAAAATTATCCTAAGCCTTATTGTGGATTGTGGGGACTCCCATAAATGAGTCCCCTAACCTTTGGAAACCCCATATACATTTCGGCATTGGCCCGATCGAATTTATAGACGCCAAGCTATAGCCGCACAACTCGCAGCAGGTCTTGAAGTGAAGTTACAAGTCCTTGTAGGAAAATTGGAATACATGGGAAGTCTGTTTTTTAGTGGGGGGGTTGGAAGGAGGCCTAACCTTGAGAAATTCATATGCGGGCTCCGCTTCATCGCAGTTTCATGAACATTATACAACTTGGCTATGGTTGGATGAGTGACATTTACACCTCAAGCAAGGCCTATAGATGTAAGACCTTAAGTGAGCTATA